TAAGATCGCCATTATGAGCTGTACAGCTTCAATTGCAATAAAATTCAAATATACATATTTAATGATTTTAATTAACCAAGATTGATAAAAAATACTGTTTAAAGCATCTAAATAAATAATTTCGATGATGAAAAATTTACAGATTTTAACTTTTTAATTAAATATAGAGTATTCCAATGGCGCGTGCCTATATTTCGAGCTACACATATATTTGACAGTAAACTTCCAATCGTTCCAACTTTTTGTCTATCAGAATTCCTGAATCAATATTTTTATAACACATTATTATTCAGTATGTACCTACTTATTAGTTTACTAGTTATGTCAAGTTAGAGAATAAGCAAGGAGAATGGGATAAATAATTTGCAGGATAGAGACCGAGCTACAGATATCAATCAAAAGACAAGGGCAGTAAGCAAAGTTCAGCGTTTAGTGTCGTCCACCGTGCTACCACGTTTTCGCCACGTTATCGCCACGTTTTCGCCACGTGGCGTAAACGTGATAATATAAGTTCCGGAAACGTGGCTGGAACGTGCTTGCCACCAAGAAAGTGTTCCCCATTTTGGTTACCGCCACGTGGTAGAACCGCGTCTATTACCTGGCAGAAACTTTGGCAATACACTTTAAAGTTTCTAAAGTCGTGGTAGACACGTTCCGCCCACGAAAAATGCTATTTGGGATGTGCGTTATTCTGGCTTATTAACAAAGTGGGTTGGGCTCTATCCTCTAGATCCATAGCTACATTTTGTATAATTTGTATAAAGGGGAATCTTTTTGTCAAGAATATCCAAGATATCGTCTGGCTTCTTGGCTGATATTAATAACATTTCAACAGTGCTTTTAGCATCTCCATTGAGACTGTCGTTTAATCTTAAAACATTTTGAGCAGGTGTAAAAGATCAAGTTTCATTGGATAACTTATATTGGGAATAGAAAATTGTCCATTCCAAACATGATAAACCATCGAATTTTCTAAGTTTACTGGCAACAGTTTGGCGAAGTAATAGGGAATTTATTGATTTTGTTAATTCTTCTACTTTGATTTGTGAATTTGAGTTTTCTTCAGGCTCTTGATTTTTTATCTTATCAGCCCATTCTTGAACTTTTTATTTTCTTTATTATTTCCTGAATACTTTCATTTTCAGAAGATATTTCTACTGAAGAATATTCTTCAACCATATTGAAAATTTTCTCTTGTTTATTGAACTTCTTTTCTTTATTCAAAATGCGTTCTTCATAAATCTTTAAGAGTTTCTTCTCTTTGTTGAATTGAATTTCTTTGGTTTTTAATAGTAATTGTAATTCTGACGTTTCTGGATTTTCTTTGAGTTCTTGTATATCATATTCCAAATTTATATTTTCTTCTTTTTTAATAAAGCTTCTTTGCATTTAGTTATTTCGTCTTATCTTATATCATTAATATTTTTTTGTTTTTCTAATAACATGCTAATTTTTGAGCTGCATTTTGTATGTGCACTTGAGCTTTTGTTGCTCTTGCTACTTTCATTTCTGCTACAGGCTTTTTTAGTAATTTCAGTTATACAGGGTGATTCACATAAGAACCGACATAGAGCAGGGGCATATAGGGGGTCCCAAAATATGGCAATTTAACGTAACTTACCTCTATACCAAGTTGCTTCCCTAAGGAGTTATAGGCTTTGAAAGTGAAGTTATAAATTTTGAAAAAAACAATATCTCCGTTATTCTTGAACTTAAAGCAACCAAATTTGGTACACTTTGTGGATGTATTTAGGGCGTTACTTGACAGTAACTAGAGTTTAATTGAAATTTGTAAAGGGGGTATACTGGGTGGCGCACCATTAATATTCAACAGAATTTTGTTAACCCTTGATGGATTTTAAAAATCTTTGCTTTGTTTTGTGGGCAATTCCATTCTTAAACTTTTCTTACTCTAGTAATTTTTCGAAAAAACTCATCATTTTCATCAAAAACTCGAATAACTTAAAACGCGCGCTCTAGGTGTGTTATTTAAAATCAGCGAAAATTCAAAAGTTGGCTATGAAAATAAACGTCAAACAAGAAAGTAGGTCATTTAATGTGATCAGTAGGAATTGGCTGGCAAATTATTATTTAGATACGTAACAAAATAACTTAAAGTAAGTACAGATACTGAAATGTGAAAAACTGGGATTAACAACTAACCAAAATAAACACAAAAAACTTAAACAACAACCAGAACAAATAATTGTTTATCGATAAATTAAAGAAATTGTTCAAAATGATCGCCGTTTTCTCTTACGCATAAATTTATTCTTCTTCGAAAATTAAAATCCACCCTATCTAATAACTGTTGATTATTCCTAATAGATGTGCATTTATGAATAATGCGATTCCATAATTCTTCTTGAGACGCAACGGGCGAAGAATACACAAATTCTTTCAACGTTCCCCACAGAAAGAAGTCACATTTGTTCAGGTCAGGTGATCTTGGGGGCCAACGTTGTGGGCAATTATTTCCTCTTCCTATCCATCTATTGGGATACTGGTGGTTTAAAAAATTTCTTACGTTCATACTAAAATGAGGCGGTGCTCCATCGTGCATAAACCAATGTTGCAACCTTAGTTGTAAAGGTACCTCGTCAAGTAGATACGGAAGGGTGTTTTGTAGAAATTCTAAATAATTTTCACCATTCAGCCGATTCGGTAAAACAACAGGACCAATTAAATATCGATCAATAATTCCCATCCAAACATTAATTTTGAATTCACGTTGGAAATGCCGAGGAGTTATTGCATGTGGGTTTACGTCAGAATACTCATGATAGTTATGGAGATTTGTGATACCTCTGCGAGTGAAAGTCGCCTCATCCGTAAAAAGAATTTTCTTTTGGAAGTTATTATCTTGGTGTAGAATAAACTGACAAAAATTGACACGTTGAACCAAATCTCCGGGTAAAAGTTCTTGGACTTTTTGTACATGATAAGGGTGTAGTAGATTGCGACGGATAACTCGATGGACAGAACTCTGCGATATACCAATTTGTCGAGATAAATTCCTAGTACTAATATGTGGATCATCTTGAATAGCATTTAAAATGGCTACCTCAACTTGTGGCCTGAGTGCGACAGCACGTTCTCGAGTATTATTGAGAAACTTGCCCGTTTCTCTAGCTCGTCTTTCAACATTAGAAAATGTTTCTCTATGGGGAATGATACGGTTAGGAAATCTTCTACGATATTCTTCTACACTTCTTCTACAGTTTCCTTCACAAAAACCTAGCACTAACAGCATGTCAACTTGCTCGTTAAAAGAAAACTTCCCGTTCATTTTAAAAACACTCAAACAACAATTACTTAATTGAACAACTTACTTGCTTCATTGTCAAGTTTGACGTTTATTTTCATAGCCAACTTTTGAATTTTCGATGATTTTAAATAACACACCTAGAGCGCGCGTTTTAAGTTATTCGAGTTTTTGATGCAAATGATGAGTTTTTTCGAAAAATTACTAGAGTAAGAAAAGTTTAAGAATTGAATTGCCCACAAAACAAAGCAAAGATTTTTAAAATCCATCAAGGGTTAACAAAATTCTGTTGAATATTAATGGTGCGCCACCCAGTATACCCCCTTTACAAATTTCAATTAAACTCTAGTTAATGTCAAGTAACGCCCTAAATACATCCACAAAGTGTACCAAATTTGGTTGCTTTAAGTTCAAGAATAACGGAGATATTGATTTTTTTCAAAATTTATAACTTCACTTTCAAAGCCTATAACTCCTTAGGGAAGCAACTTGGTATAGAGGTAAGTTGCGTTAAATTGCCATATTTTGGGACCCCCTATATGCCCCTGCTCTATGTCGGTTCTTATGTGAATCACCCTGTATATTTAATTAGAATTTCTGCTAATTCATTAGTATTCTTTAAACTTTTAAAATGATTGCATTTAGGCACTAACAATGTGTTCTATATAAAAGTTTAAACGGTTTAGATTGCTTCGATTGGAAACAAATTTGATTCGCATTTTAAAATGATTTTTAAAAATTTCGAACAAATCTATTTTTCACAGTACATAAAAAACTATAACTAAAAAAGATACGGAAAATACAAGAGTTAGGTTTTTCCGGGTAAAAATTATTTGATTTCACCTTTTTTAGTTTGCATTTGTTTGCGAGTACCACCTTCTATGAGCCCTTTGAACTCAAAAAACTCTAAGACGAAAATTTCAAGCTAGTTCAACTTTAAAGGTCTTGTAGCACTTAAAATTCCCTGTAAAATGGCTTTTCGAACGATTAGATAGTTTTAACTTTCAGGAAGTTATCGATGAAAAATCAATCTGGTTTTACGGTGAAACTTATTTTGGGGTGGTTCCAGTGGTTTAGCGAACACGACTTCGAATCCAAAAGCAAACAATGTGAATTTTTAATTAATTTGCATGGTTCGTCGTAGGATTTGATGGCTGCCGTATTAACAGTAATTTAATTTCTATTGATATGGCATCTATATTACAAATAATCGCAGTGTGTTACCGTCTTGATGATCATGGGTGAAGTTTTCCGGGGTTTCCTCACCTGTAAGTCAATAGCCCTGGAGCGCCACGGAAAATAATAAAAGCCGCCCCTTCCTTACATAAGCTCAGTCGGCTTCAGGAATTAAAATTCATTCGTAAGGGGGTGAATTAGGAAAAGTATAATTATTTATTTATACTTAAAATATATTTTTTAAATTGAACATGATTTTTTAATTCAAGCATCGCTTAAATATATAGTTGTCAAATTTTTCCTTAAAAAGGGTAGTTTTCAACCCCCTAAAAATAAAAAGTTTACATCAACAACATCAACTTTTGAATAGGAGGGTAAGATGGACTTAATTACAAATTGTCATTCAAATCGGTGTAGTCCGAAAGAATACGAAGGCAATCTATTTTTACCTTCAAACACTGCAGTATTTTACTATAAATTTAAAACAAGGGTTACACATTTTGTCAAAATGGCTAAATTTTTATCTGATAAAAAAGTTATATTTTTGATTTATTTTTAGCCAAGGAAGGCAGAAGTTATAAGAAAACTCTTTGAGAAAATCGGTTATATGTTGCCTGACGAAGCCTTCCAAAATCTTTGGAATGAAGGTGTGGAACACGATGGCACCGGCTTGTGCTGTGTAGATACCTTCAAAAAGTTGTTAGAAAAATATTATCCTCCTCCTGCACAACTTCGAGTTGATGAAACCGACTGTCGGGATATTTTTCCTCATATTGTATAAAATTATACTAAAATTGTGTATATAATCATCAAAAAAATATATTTTAAAAATATATCGATACGTGTAATTTTATTGAGAAGAAACGTCCAAATTTTTGAGTTATCAATTTTTGGTATTTTTTTCTTTTTTTAAACGCCCATATGTTCGCTATTCTTGAAGAAGTTAGCTCAATAATCCGATAGTGAATTGGAATCTGTTCAACGAGAGGTCAGGGAATTCTTGTTTAAATTTCAAAATATAAAATCCTCAATTTAAACAGCATTTCCAGACTGGGCCAGGACTTAAAATTCACCTTGCAACAATACATACTGCCATCTCGCTTCAACACAATAGAAGCAAAACATATTTCCGGTAAACAACATTCCATAACATATTTTATACAACAAAAATATTTTCTATCGAAAAACTTTGCCCGATAAACTCATTATTGTCATCCAGACGAGTTCATTGCATAATGGGCTGGGTTACCTACCTACAAGCAACGTCTCATCAAGTTCTCTTGAGTCTGTCTCCGAAATTATTATTATTAATTATTTAACATCGGCCTATTTCTAACTATGAGGTTTAAACACCGACGCTGGTGAGCACACAACCTTCAATTAGTGATCTGCTTTAACGAGCCCAACATCCATGGACTCGGGACAGACAGCTTGTTTGTTCGGACGTACGCCGAATTTCATTGCGATAGTCACTCATCCAACTACTGACTGCGCTCGGCCTAGCTTGACTGCAGATATCGATACACAATAAGTAAATCTGCTAATCCGAGCCGCTGCCGCGTCCCCGAGCTTCAAACAAGCCACATCGCTTAACATGTAGTGCATAATCTTTTTGTGTCAAATTCGTATTAGCGTTGTCAAGTCAAGTCGTGCGTAAATGTGCTCCGATAATTTATTGTTAAAAAGTGTGAGTTAGTATGTATTAATTTATAATTACTTCTAAGTGGCGTTAATAACAAAGATACCACTTATTGGTAATGTACAATAAGAAAATTTTTAAGTGCGAGAAGAGATATGGCATGTGGAATATGCAAGGAAAAGTTTACTCGGACTTCGTCGACGACCCTTTCCTGCTATGGTGTCTGTAAACGACAATTTCATATGCCCTGCTGTAATGTACCAGTTGATGTTACAAAATATTTAGGTAAGATTCCTGGTCTTGGTTGGTATTGCGTTGATTGTTATGCAGTCCTAAAATCATGTAATCCTGAGTTTGTCAAAAACTTAGCTGAGGAAGGAGTAGGAAAGATTATGAAAGAGATTTTATCACTGGCAAAAAACTAACTGAAGATATTGCCAAAAACCTAACAGAATTAGTCTCAAAGAGATTAGAAGACTTACAAGAAGGTCTGAAGGAGAAAATATCAATGGCTGCTGTTCAAAAAATTACTGAAATTAACGTGAATCCTATTGTATGCTCTAATACTACTGCGACCTCTGTATCCAGTACCGGAAATAATAATTTGTACTCCACGAAACTTAAAAGTAGCTCTGCAGTTATAATCAAGCCGAAAGATTCTTCTCAAAATAATTCTGTCACCAAAGCAGATATTTTAAACGCGATTGATCCGGTAGGTATTCAGATCTCCAGTGTTAAGAATATTAGAGATGGGGGATTAGTTATTGGTTGCTCTTCTGAATCTGGAGTTTCCACATCAAAAAATCTTGCTGGTTCTAATCTAATGGAAAAATATGAAATCAAGGATGTGGTTGGAATAAGACCAAAAATAAGAGTTGTAGGAATGTCGGCTGAATTAGATAGTGAAAAAATTGAACATTATGTTTTAAATCAAAATAAATCTGTATTTTGTTCTAATTCTATTGAATGTAAAGTTTTAGATATATCTTGCACTAAGAAGAATAGAAAAATTTATCAAGCAACTTTGCAGGTTGATGTTGCATCATATAATAATATCATGACGAATGGTGAAGGTAAGCTATTTATTGGCTTTGATGTTTGCTCTGTTTATGATTGTGTATCTGTTAAGAGGTGTTATAAATGTATAGTCTGTTCGCTATACTTACGCGGGTTTCGGATTAACAAAATTATGCAAATTAGTCATTGACAACCAGTTCCAATAAGCCTCTTTCCAAGAAATTAGCTAAAATTGCCCTGATGGTCAGATTTAAATTAAAATAACATTAGGGTAGGTACTAAATTTGTTACAAATAATTAATTAATTAATCCGAAAGACTATAATGGTTTTAATCATTTCTCAAAAAATTGTCCCAGTAATACTATTTATTGTCCAATGTGTGCAGAAAAACATGCTGTAAAAGAATGTAAGGCTGATGGTTGATGAATTAAAATGTATTAATTGTGTAAAGGTGATGGGGAACGGGATTCTCTGGTTCAAATGCATGGGACACCCATTGTAATTCTTACCAACGTGATATAGATGAATTAAAATCCTCACTTTATATAGCATAGAAATCGCAAATGAGTCAGTCGGATGTATTAACCATTGGTGGTACAGCTCTACACCCGCAAAATAATTCATTTAATATTTCTAATAAAAACTTGACCTGCTATCTGTATTATAAGAATGTCCGTGGAATTAGAACTAAAATAAATACCGTTTACTTGTTTTCTCTTCAGTCCGATTTTGATTTTATAGCATTGACAGAGACTTGGTTAAACGAATCTTTTCGTAGCTGTGAGATATTTTCCGATAATTATCATGTATATAGAAAGGATAGATCTACTTCTCGAGTTAAATTCCGGTGGGGGTGTTTTGCTAGCTGTCAATAAAAAATTTAGTAATGAAATAGATCTAACATTTATTAGCGATATTATTTCAATTATTGATATTCTAGGCACTACGATTACATTAAATTATTACAAAATATTAATACTACTTGTTTACATTCCTCCAAGTCTTAAAGTTGTTGATTATGAAGCCTTATTTGATTGTCTCTCCACCTTAAACTTTGTTGACTACGAGAAAGTATTTGTTTTAGGAGACTTTAACGTTCCCCAGTATATTAATATGGCATCTCTCACTGGTCGACTAGTTGAATTAAATGTTTTCGTACATTTTCACGATTTCAAACAACATAATAATAATATATTTAACATAAACACTCGATTATTAGACTTAGTTTTTTGTAATGAATCATGCACTGTTGAAAGGGTATATGATTTGATGGTTCCTGATAGTGTGGATAGCAAGTTGGTGGTTCGAGCCCCGAAACTTTTAGTTTTTTTTTGTTTTTTTTTTCCTAAAAAAAAATATTTTTGTTATATTATTTCAGTTTTGGTAATTTAAAATGTTTAGTTTTTAAAAAGTATATACTTATTCAATGCATAGTGGCGCATAACGAGGTTCATTCATTTTTATGTTGGCCAGCAATTAAACCCCGGAAAAAGTGTCTGCCTTTTTGGAATTAATTTTTTTTATATTTAATTAAGACGCTATTAAAATTTCAGCGTGAATCAAACACTTCAAATCATATTTTAAAAAAATCAACTTTGGGGTTGATTTATTAATTATAAACCCTCTCAAAAGTGTCTGCCTAAATTACTAGTATTTTTAGAATTACCTAAACTTTCAATTGTTGTTTGTTGGCCTCTGAATCAAACACTTTTTTTTGGGTCATATTTTACGACCCCTTTCTATTATGCGCAGTACCTGGTATCCCGAGGTGGGTCTAGCCAACACAGGTATATCTGCTTTTCCATCCAAATGATTTCAAATTACAAAATTTCAAAGTGCATCAAACACTTAATGGAATGTGTGTTACTAGCTCTTGGACTATAAGGGACCAGATAATATACCATCCTTCATGGTTCGCGATTGTTCCCATGCGTTAGCTATTCCTTTAAATAAAATATTTAATTTGTCACTGCGTGGAAGAGGTCAAGAATCTGTCCTGTTTTTAAAAAAGGTAAAAAAAATGTATCGAGAACTATCGACCCATCACTATTATATGTAATTTTGCCAAAGTTTTTGAAACTTTACTATACGATAATATAATACCACACGTCAAACATCAGATAGTGGAAGAACATGGTTTTTGTAAGAACAGGTCAACAATAACAAATCTTTTCTCATTTACACAATACAGTTCTACAATAGTTGATGGCGGCGGTCAACTAGACGTAATATATACAGATTTTTCTAAGGCTTTCGACAAACTCGATCATAAAATATTATTTCAAAAACTTAGCAAGTTTGGATTGTCCAAGCCTGTCATACATTTTTTTCAATCTTACTTGACAAACAGAACCCAGTTTGTTGAAGTGCGTGGATTTGAGTCTGTCGATATCTTAGTAAACTCTGGCGTACCTCAAGGCTCGATTCTGGGACCGCTTTTATTTATACTATTCGTAAATGACATCATTAATGACGTTAACGTAAAATATTTAATTTATGCAGACGATGTCAAATTTTTTTATCAGGTAGATATCTTAAATCATTGTCTTAAATTACAAAGTAATATTGATAAAATAAATAATTGGTGTTTAATAAATAATCTTCCATTAAACTCAAAAAAATGTAATATAGTGTCATATATATTTCAAATGCAAAGCTAAGAATGTAGACGAAAAAATCAGTCGTTAATATTCCTCTATAAACTTATTAACTACCAAATTGATTGTTCCGAGTTATTAGAACAACTTGTATTTAAAGTGCCAAGAATTGAATCTCGAAACAACTTAATGTTTTATCTCCCGCTATTTCGGACAAATTAATTAAAAAACTCACCGTTGTATTTTACGTGTGAAAACTGCAACAACCTGCGAGGTAGAATTTATTTATTTTCTTTTAAGCTTTCGCATCTCAAAAAATTGTAAAGCTGTTTCGGTATTATTTGCTTGTGTATAGTCATTAATTTATTTAATTTTTGTCATATTATGTAATTTTTGTTATAGTGTGTAATTTTTGTTATGTTGTGTAATTTATGTTATATCCAAATTATATGTCTTATTGTGCAATATGTTATATTTATATTTACTTTTGTAATTACAATTTTTTTCCTGTTCTATAACTGGGCATTTAGCCTGCAGAGCAGTGTATTTAATAAATAAATAAAAATAAATACTTACAAACA